GCAGCTCCGGGACGCGTCCGACGTGCAGCGACAGCACGCTAGGTTCGGACGCCGTTTCTTCGGGGCGGCCGACAGGGTGAGCACGCAGTACCGCCGCGAGTCGTTGCGGACCACGCGGTCGTTGCGCACGCTCATGCACGGCTACCTCAGGGAATCGTCCGACGGGTCGGCGGCGCTCGCGGCCAACATCGGCGCCGGCCCGGCCCAGGTGTTGGACAGGCTGCGCGTCATGCAGGAACAGTGCGCGCGGATCGCGGAACGCGTGCGCAGGCGGTCCGGGTGTTCGGGGAACGCGGACGAGCCGGGCGACGGGTCGCGGGCCCCGTGCGACGGTGACACGGACCGCAAGGGCCGACAGATCGACTTGCTGTCGGATGCGCAACACCGGCTGACGGCGGGCCGGGAGTTCGTGCGGCGGACGCGCGCGCTCGTGGACAGGGCGGTCGCGGACGTGCACCGCGAGAACGTGACGTTGCGAGGGCTGCTGTGCGCGGCGTGCGCGGCGTGCGTTGGCCGCGAGGCGCAGCTGAACGGCGCGTGCACCGTGGTGGACGTCGCGGCCCGGCTGGAGAAGGCCTGCTTCGCGCTGTTCGCCCGGCTGGACAGCGCGATGGGGTCCGACGCCGCGTCGCGGCAGACGTCGCGCGGCCGCCCCGGCACCGGGCAGCGGGCCCGCGACGTCGTGACGTCGTGCTTGGGCGCGGTGCAAGCTCAACGTGCCGACACGGTGCGCCGGGCCCAGGACGTCGAGTACCGCGTGAACAACTTCCACAAGGCGGTCAACCGGTTGCTGTTGGCCGCGACGCCCACGGTTCGGGTCCCGCGGCCCGCCAACAACGTCCGCCACGGACGTGGGCCGACGGCGGTACGGTCACGGGCCGCTGCAACGGTACGCGGCAAGACGCCGGCGAAGAAGAACCCTACGCCGGAGTCCACGGCCTCCGCCGCCGTGACCGCGGACGCAGGGACGGTCACGATGCTTTGTCCGCCGTCGATCGGTATCATTGAATACGAATGAACGTCGTTTTTCCGCCCATTGGTGGTACGGTGTCGAGATAGTTTTTATATAGTTAACGCGAAATAATCGTAAGAAGCAATTTTTTTTTCCCCCCGATCGTCCGAATGATTTTTATGTAACCGCTAATCGGGCGAACGCATTCACTACGATTGTTTAACATCGATCCAATTGTAAATGATGAATGTAGTAATTAACTATTGTACTACAGTGCACCACTTACTGTCTTACTTTTCACACTATTCGTATGAAAATAGTAATAATTATAATAATAATAATGTGTTTGGTCGGAAAACAATTTGTTCGTTTTAAATTAATAATTATAATTAATCATTAAAATTTAACAATGTACAACGACAGTATTTTGGATCAATCGTCTATCGAGGAAATAATTATTATCTCGTACCAATGTAATTGGAAAATAATTATTTATCATTTTACTTGTTTCTTACATGATACTTACAGTTTGCGATGAACATTCCAATGTTAATTTTTTTCCAAAATACTCGATATTTCTCCCAAAAAAAGATAATATGTAAATAGAATAATTATTAATTAAATTAATCAATACTTAAATAGTTTGAAACTCCAAAGCGATGGTGTCATTATGCAACATTCCTGGTATTAGTCTTTTAATTGCGGCAAAATTTAAAAATAAAATTTGAAACATCGAAAACCTGTTTTAAACTACACTAAACAAAAAGTATATAAATATTAAATTTTAACTTTTTTTTTATAATTTATTAACAATTTTAAGTATTTTTTTTTACTCATATACTTTTTTTTGTGTGTCATGGTAAAATAAAAAATTAAAAACTATTCACACATACATGTACACTCGGTTAAGGCATTCTTATTGGAGGATTATATTTGTACCTAAATTAAATTACTTTTTAAGTAATTAATCTTAATATTAACACATTTTTAATTTTACATTTATATTTTTAATACATTATATGCCAATCCATCGAACAGAACAGTTATAAAATAAAAACGATAAATTACAAATATATTTTTAATTATTTACATACATAATACATGCATTTGATTATTATATTAATAATATTTAATGAATAGTATTGCAAGCTAGCACAAAATTATTTTGCCAAAATACTTTGAAATACTTTAATACTTAAAGATAATTGACCAATTAATATCAATCATGATGAAATAAATAAATATTATTTTAATGATTATTTAACCATTACTTTTATATTTTATATTTAATATATAATATAATAAAATAAATTGGTGGTTAAATAAAGAGTTACTAATGTCTTCTAATAATTATATAACTATACTATTTATTTGTTTCAAATACTTACTGTAGATTTATAAATAGGTATCCACTAAATATGTGTAGGCTTAACTTTGTATAAGGATCCGTAAAGTATGCTATTTTTAATACTATGACCTGAGGAAAATTATAAACGTTTGATTGCACGGTTAACTTTTGTCTTTATTATTCCACAATCGATTGAAAATTTTAATACACAATATAACTACGTTATTAAATGTATAATACAATTCAATTGATATCCTTTTGAACCTTACTTGCTAGTTACTTGCTGTGCACAGCATCAAGTTTAAAACAGATTGATGTAGCAAAATATGCAAAATAAGAATTTTAATAATATGACGAAACATTGTATCTTATTTTGTAAAAATTTTATTTTATTAATTTGAACGTCTGACGGCAATTTTTTAATGAGAATTTTAAAAAATATAAATAATTTAATCGTAAAGTATACTAATCAAATTACAACAAAGATATTCTGCACGGTCTAGTCTAGTGTCTAATAACTTGAGTCTTGCATGCATGTTTTTGGATTATCATAATATGAAGTTAAAATCACAATTATTTTATTTAAAAATACAATTTATTTTAAATTATTCTAAAACGCTAATTTATATAATAAATAATTATTTAATTATTTTCAATTATAATACGTAAGTCTCGGGCATAGGGTTATCTTATAAATAAAAAGATTTTAAATATATATGATTAACATTAATGTTATGTATTATAAACATTAAATGATTTCGCAAAAAAAATATACTTTTTTATGTAAAAATTTAACGGTGGTTATAAAACAGTCAAAATGACTTATTTTAAATTGATTAAACTTATTTTTCAAGTTATAACCTACAGAATTATTAATTACTATGCAAATTCTACAGCAAATATATTTTACACAATACTGTATTTACCTTTCTGGTGTTATTGCTTTTTATCTTAGGCAATACTGATTTATATCCTTTAAAATATAACCTATTTATAAAAATACAATAAATAGTTTTGATTACTAGGTAAATAATATCAATTATATAGCTCATAACCCTGCTAAGTCCTAGATATTGTTTTCTAAAATCAAGTCAAGCGTGTAATTAATAATACGGTACATTCTAAACACTATACAAATACTTCTCGTTGGATTATTTGTCAATTAAAATAATTTTTATTCGAGATTTTCAATAAGGAAATAATTACTTATATTTTGCTAACACATTATATTATGTAAAATATTAAGTATGTAAAATAATATTTTGTAGCCAACCAATCTCAACGGAGCCTAAGACGACATACTTTATTAAATAATCCATGTCGCCCTAGGTTGTAGAATGAACAGTAAAGGGGTCATGTGTACGCAAGCAATCGAGCAGTAATGTACTTTAATGGTATTTGAGAGCATACGGCGTACACCAAAATTAAGTACACCACTATTAAAGATATTTATATTTTTATTAATACTAATATTAATATAGTTCACTATGAAATAATTTCCAATTAAGTTTTAAATATATAAGACAGTAAGAAAATATTTCAAAATATAAATCAAGGGATATACATTATACATGTATAATGTATATGTTACAGTAAATTATGTTACACATAAAATTGACGATATTTTCTAATAAATAACAATAATTAACTAAAATACTATTTAACCGTATCATCGTGATTTATTTATTTTAGGGTTTGATTGTTGTTAATTTTTACTCACGTTGAAAAATGTAGTTATATTAATGATGTTGAATAATATTTTATATAAATATAATCGGTGAGTATTTAAGTAAATAAATCTTAATAAATAATATTATAATAAAAACCTTTAGATAAATTAATATCGTTAATCATATTGTTTAAAGTTATAGTAAATCCTTAGTAAATAACGTTGTACACCTTATGAATTATTCAATATTATCAGGGTTATATTATTATATATTATTCAGGACTTATAAAATTTTCTTATTTTTATGGTTTGACATAAAATGTAGCAGAATGTTATGGAAGTGTTTGTCACTGTATAACATTTAACACGTTCATTTATGAAATTTCAAAGTGCTTTGTTTTTGCTTTTCTACAAAAGAAATGATTATTTCCTGTATTTCTGATTATTTTTGCTTTTTTGCATACCTATCTGCTTAGTTATGAATGATGACGTAGACCAATGACCTAACTCAGATTTTTTTCAATTATTTATAAATATCGTTTAAATTTTATTTATCAGAAAATACCTCTCAAAATCCATAAACAATAAGGCAAAATGTTTTGAAAGTCAAAATTAGATTATTTTTATAATATAAAGATTTATTTATTTTTTTGATTTTTAATTAAAAGATTATGGATTACTTTATTTGTTTTATTATTTTTTTAATCTTTAACTATATATTTAGCACAGTTAAAAAATATATTCACTACTTTATCATGTTCATATAGAAAAAAAATTTAGAAATGTTTGCTAATTTTTTCCTATTTTAAGATTTTTTTTTTTTATTAAATATTTTTATTTAAATTTAAGTTTTTTAAATTATTATTTGAGTGCTTATTATAATATTTTTAAGTGCTTTTTTAAGAACTTATTTTAATGATCTTAAGTGCTTTATATTTTGAACCCTGATTATTATCTATTAACATTAAGTACTGTAAATGAATGTTAATATAAATTTAATGCCTTTTACTGTGATATATATATATGTATAATATAATGAAAAAAAAAATGAAAGATAAATGTGTTAACTTGTAATTAAGATTAGGGTCATTTTGATGGTAAATATTTAAAAAAATGAATTGAAGATTTTTATATTTTCTTTTTAAATGTGAACTACATTAGTTAAACCTTTAACATATTTAATTATAATATCGTCTTCACCATTATTTCTATAGCATTGAAGTTAGATTTTTAAAGGTATCATCTGTTTGTGTTTTTTCGGAGTATAATACTCGATAAAATCAAGTGATAATTGTAGTTTGGCTTATGATCGTACTATTGTGAATGCTTTTGAAGAGCAACGTAAAATACATTTGAGTAGACGTGGTTTTGATTTACCTTTTTCGTTAAACTAGTCCTGACAAGTACAAGTAAAATAAGAAATATTTGTGGCCATTATATTTTTAAATATGTTATTTGGTTAATCGTGATCTTGTGGTTGATTAGAGATTATGTTATTTGGTAAATTTAATACAATAATATTATTCTTACGTGTCAACTAGTTCTGATATAGTTTTGTTAATTTCCCATTGATGAAACTGACCTTTCAATTTTCTCTATATTATGTTCCAGTATAATCAATTTATTTTTTTTTTGAAGTTTTCATTTTTTTTAAATAAAATAGAGACTGTACTCAATAAATTATCAAATTTTTTATTAAACTGATTTAGTTTTTCATTTTGGCTATTTATGCTATTTATGATTTTACTTTGTTTTATTTTAATATAATTAATATATTTAATAATATCCGTGTATTCATTTTCATCTTTATAATATGTATATATATATATATATATATAATAAGATAAGTGAAACGCGCCACTTATGACTATGTTATAATTAAATACCGGATATTAATTACCGGATTTTAATTGCATTAAAAATATCTTAAAATTGTACTAAAAAGTTTCTAAAATTGCAATGAAATACATTAAAATTACATAGTAAAATCATATCAAATACATAATCATTAATTACTTACTTAAATTATATTATGGACATTAATATAATATTTACAAAATATATCATTTTTCTCAATTAAAATTTATAATTATATACATCTCTAAATTGTGTTCTTGAAAATTGTATCATCTGTTACTAAAAATATGTTTATATAATGAAAAAGTACGTTTAACGTCGACACTTGTTATCGATACATATTTAAAATAGTTTAAAAAATTGGGTGATGTATTTAAATAAACATTTTGATTTCCTGTCATAATCTCAGAGTAAGTTTTAATAGTTTTATACCCTTCATTTTTTTCTAAGACATATTTTAATTTATCTTTAACTATTTATCCATTGG